ATGGCGCAGGAAGGTTCTTCTCGGTGTATGCAAGCTGCCAAAACACGAATCTGAAACACAGAAACATGTGAATTGGGGAGGGGTTCTCTGTGAATGCGTGTCAAACCAATTGAATGAAAAATCCTCCAGGGGTCTTGAACTGTCTCTCGTGTGACCTCCCAGTTGCCTGAGCAGCACTTGGCGACTGAAGGTCTTCAGCTGAAGAGGACCAGACCCGAAGATTGGTGGATCGCTGCTTTCTTGGTGAGCCATATCCAAAACCGTGTAAAGGAGCATACCCAAAACTCAGGGCAAGGATCTACAATGGCGTGCAGCAAGTCGTTTGGGCCGCAAAGAAATTAATATGAACAATACGACTTGGTCATGTAGATATGTAGATATGTTCTTTGTGTATTCAAGGGCCCAGACCCTATATTTGAAAATGCCGTAATAGAAGTGTAGAAACTCTCTTGTGGTTCCCCAAAACCGAGGCAGAGGTAAATCCGAATGTATGATGTCGTCAAGCCCAGACAAACAGAGTCCGCTGGGTTCTTTTGCACCCCGCCAGGCTCGCAAGAGGCGCGGAAAGGACCAACCTTGATCAGAGCATACGGTTCTATGTTTCTCCCTTAAACATTACCCCACTTAAAGGACACTCGCTTTAATTTGGCCCCAAACCTGAAGATGTGACTCAGGGAGTCAAACCAGCAAAATATGTCCAAAACATAGAGAGCTCTGTTGAATCATCCACTTGGTACCTGTAACTCAGCACAACCAGATGAATTGGAGAACCCATGGATTGGGTCGTGGTTCACTGCAAGGGTTTTACCTTTCCTTGGTTGATTAAACCACCGGGAAACCAGAACCATCTATTTTTCGAGCAAAACAACCAAAAAGGACACCTATGGTACCAATCCAAAAGCGACAAAGCTTACGGGAAAGGTTGTGTAGGCAGTTGATCAGGTCTTCGCGCTGGTTTATCCCAAAGCCTAGCTCAACAGAACACTTTGAATGCACCTGCACGCTTTTCAGGCGCCAAGTTTGCGCCGTGCTCAGCTGTCGCCGCCGTATTGGGAAGCACCCCAGGTCACAACAGCCCCTTCAAGAATGGCAACAAAGGCAGCGGCAGTTGCTTGGATGTGCTGGACATCCCTCAGTCGCTCTTGCACCTGGCTGCTGTCTCCTCCGCATGCTGCATGGCCCCAGGTCACAACACCCCCAGAATTAAGAACGGCAGCAAAAGCAGTAGGAGTTGCTTGGATGTGCTGGACGTTCCTCAGCTGTTCTTGTACCTGGCTGCTGTCTCCGCCCAAGTCTGCATCACCCCAGGTCACAACAGCCCCAGATTCAAGAATGGCTGCAAAAGCACCACCGGCTGCTTGGATGTGCTGGACCTTTGTCAGCTGCTCTTGCACCTGGCTGCTGTCGCCACCACGATGGGGACCACCCCAGGTCACAACTTCCCCAGATTCAAGAATGGCAGCAAAAGCACAAGAAGTTGCTTGGATGTGTCGAACATTCCTCAGCTGCTCTTGCACCTGGCTGCTGTTTCCGCCATTGAATGGAATGCCCCAGGTCACCACTGTCCCAGATTCGAGAATGGCAGCAAAAGCACCAGCTCGAGTTGCTTGGATGTGCTGGACGTTCCTCAGCTGCTGTTGCACCTGGCTACTGTCTCCGCCATGGTCTGCATCACCCCAGGTCACAACTTCCCCAGATTCTAGAATGGCAGCAAAAGCACAGGCAGTTGCTTGGACGTGCTGGACGTTCCTCAGCTGCTCTTGCACCTGGCTGCTGTCTCCGCCAGATTCTGGATTACCCCAGGTCACGACAGACCCAGATTCAAGAATGGCAGCAAACGCAGTGTTGGTTGCTTGGACGTGCTGGACGTTCCTCAGCTGCTCTTGCACCTGGCGGCTGTCTCCGCCGTGGTCCGCACCCCAGGTCACAACTGCCCCAGATTCAAGAATGGCAGCAAACGCAGTGTTGGTTGCTTGGATGTGCCTGACATTCCTCAGCTGTTCTTGCACCTTGCTACTGTCGCCGCCGTATCCCGGATCACCCCAGGTCATGACAGCCCCAGACTCCAGAATGGCAGCAAAAGCATAGTCAGTTGCTTGGATTTCTTGGATGTTCCTCAGTTGCTCTTGCACCTGTCTGCTGTCTCCGCCATATCCTGGATCACCCCAAGTCACAACCTCGTCCCCGTGGCCATGCAAAGCAAACGCCTTACTAGTGGCTGCGCACAGTTTTCCAAGCTGCACAACCGCAGTCACTAAGTCCCCATCTCGCAACCCGGCCTCGCTCAGCGTGGCTGTCAAATCGAGCTGCTGGCCTTTTGCAGTAAGCTTCAAGCGGTGCTGGAAATGCTGCTGCGCTGCAGCCTTCAGTTCGCTCATGTGCATAGCCGGTGAGACTTCCACGGAGAAACCATCTCCACTTGGCAAGTGAACATCCAGCTTCATGGCGCAGGAAGGTTCTTCTCGGTGTATGCAAGCTGCCAAACACGAATCTGAAACACAGAAACATGTGAATTGGGGAGGGGTTCTCTGTGAATGCGTGTCAAACCAATTGAATGAAAAATCCTCCAGGGTCTTGAACTGTCTCTCGTGTGAACTCCCAGTTGCCTGAGCAGCACTTGGCGACTGAAGGTCTTCAGCTGAAGAGGACCAGACCCGAAGATTGGTGGATCGCTGCTTTCTTGGTGAGCCATATCCAAAACCGTGTAAAGGAGCATACCCAAAACTCAGGGCAAGGATCTACAATGGCGTGCAGCAAGTCTTTTGGGCCGCAATGAAATTCATATAAACAATACGACTTGGTCATGTAGATATGTAGATATGTTCTTTGTGTATTCAAGGGCCCAGATGCACCTTTTGGCCCATATATTTGAAAATGCCGTAATAGAAGTGTAGAAACTCTCTTTAAGGGCGCCCCTCTTGGTTTTCGTGGTTCCCCAAAACCGAGGCAGAGGTAAATCCGAATGTATGATGTCGTCAAGCCCAGACAAACAGAGTCCGCTGGGTTCTTTTGCACCCCGCCAGGCTCGCAAGAGGCGCGGAAAGGACCAACCTTGATCAGAGCATACGGTTCTATGGTTCTCCCTTAAACATCACCCCACTTAAAGGACACTCGCTTTAATTTGGCCCCAAACCTGAAGATATGACTCAGGGAGTCAAACCAGCAAAATATTTCAAAACATAGAGAGCTCTGTTGAATCATCCACTTGGTACCTGTAACTCAGCACAACCAGATGGATTGGAGAACCCATGGATTGGGTCGTGGTTCACTGCGAGGGTTTAACCAAATAGATTTTGTCGGAATTCGGATGACCAGACCGAAGCAAAAGCTGGGCTTTTGTTGGGCTCTGTTCCGCAGAAACACGGTGTGGTGGAAGGTGTTTGAAGCTCAAAGCAAAACATTTCTGGGGAGTCGTTCGTGTCTCACTCCCTGAGCTCCTTCCTTCTCGGACGAGTCAGTCACTTGTTGGTAAGACGATTCTCGGAATAATAATGATATAATAAAAATAACAAAAAAATAACAGTAGTAATAGTAGTAGTAATAATAACAAGTAATAATAATAATGATGATGATAATAATAGTACTGACAAAAATATAGGATTTATTTTATCCTCTCGATCGGAAATCAGAGTCGTGTAAACCAACTCCAAGTTGGTACCCTCCAAAAACATTGGTCTTTAGGTTCGATAAGAAACCCAAGCACCCGAGAACAAATCGCCGACGTCCCTTTAAAAACTAGATGGTTCTTGCTCCTCGAGCTAAGAGTCTTGCCCTTTGCAAGTTTAATGGAAAAGCCATGGGTTTCCGAAAGGTCGAAAGGGCTACAGCTCAGGTCACACCAAAGACCAGCCATGCTGAAAAAGGCAGCCACTGCAACAAACTACACCGATGTCCCTCCCGCAAGGATTGTGCCCTTTCAGTTGGAACAGCCGAAACGGCCTTTGCTGCGTTGGTTTGATCTTTCCACGAGTTCATGTCGGACCCCAGTCGGCATGTTTGATTCCCCAAACATGAAGCATGTCGGAAACAAGTTGAAAGGTTTGTCGATCACCTGACTGGTTTTGCCGGCAGTCTCTTTCCCAGTCTCTCCCCCTCCCCCTTCCCCCCCGCCCACCCCGCGCCCACCCCCCGCCCACCCCCCGCCCACCCCCCGCCCACCCCCCGCCCACCCCCTCCCCCCCTCCCCCCGCCAAAAAAAAACGTGCCCACCCGGCCACCCCAGTGGCGTCTCGCGTCTCTCCTGCGCAGTGGCCGCCTCCGCCCGCACCAACTCGCGGCCCGTGAGGGCCGCCACCACCACCGCCACCGCCATGGCACCGGCCCCGCCGCTGCTTGCCAGCGGGGGGAGTGGAACTGAAGGGTCGGGGCGGTTTCGAGTTTAGTTTTGCTATGACAAGGGTCTTTGTGTTTGAGACAGTTTTCCCTTTGAGCTTTGATGTCTCGGGTAAATGGCGAGCATTCGACCCGGCTAAGATCCTTTGCGGATATCTCGCTTCCGGAACTCATCCTGCGGTCCCTCGGGCCCCAACTGCTTCCGCACCTCTTGAGCTGAGCTGGGGGTTGGTGAGCCTTGCTCTTCAGGGGCGGGGTGCCTTGGGTGGGGGTGGAATTGGTTGAATTACGAGTTGTTGATGAATGGGGTGGTGGATGGGGTGGGGTTGGGTGTTTTGGGATGTGGGGTTGGAGTGGAATGGAGTTGGAGTTGTAGTTGGGGGGGGGTTTGGGGGGGGACTTCAGGTGTGTTGGTGGAATGGGAGTGGAGAAATGGAGTCGCACACTCCCGTGATCGAAAACTGGCATGGGGCCTGATGATTTTCCTTGTTCACTGCTTTTCGCGGTTGAATCAGCCTTTGCCCTGCCTACAAGACCCTCTTGATTGTGTGAAACACTCTGGGGATAGGGGGACTCTCGGACAAGATCCCGCCCCAACCGATTTCCGCAGGCCACCGAAGCAAACATGGGACAGCCACCGGTGCCATTGGCCACGCTTGGGCCCCGGC